GGCCGGCGCTGAGCCCTGCCGTGCTCTGTGCAGGAGTGGGAGGATTACCGCCTCACCTGGAAGCCGGAGGAGTTCGACAACATGCGCAAGGTGCGCCTGCCCTCCAAGCACATCTGGCTGCCCGACGTCGTCCTCTACAACAAGTAGGTGCCACGCGCCTCGGGCCCCAGCTGCGCCCCCCCTCCCAGAGCCCTAACGGGGGCGGAACCTGGGGGGCACAGTTCCCTGTTCCCCCTGCTCCCAGCTGGCTCAGATCCCAGCAGCACCCCACATTCGACAACATGCGCAAGGTGCGCCTGCCCTCCAAGCACATCTGGCTGCCCGACGTCGTCCTCTACAACAAGTAGGTGCCACGCGCCTCGGGCCCCAGCTGCGCCCCCCCTCCCAGAGCCCTAACGGGGGCGGAACCTGGGGGGCACAGTTCCCTGTTCCCCCTGCTCCCAGCTGGCTCAGATCCCAGCAGCACCCCACAAGATGGGAACCCGGCTGGGTTTTAACCCCAGGCTTCCTGGGGAGACGGGGCCCCGCTCTGCTGGGCAGGTGGGTGGCGCCGGGGGGGGGGGGGGGGGAAGGTTCGGGGACCCCCGCCCCCGACTGGCCTCTCCCGCCCTGCAGCGCCGACGGCATGTACGAGGTCTCCTTCTACTCCAACGCGGTGGTCTCCTACGACGGCAGCATCTTCTGGCTGCCTCCGGCCATCTACAAGAGCGCCTGCAAGATCGAGGTGAAGCACTTCCCCTTCGACCAGCAGAACTGCACCATGAAGTTCCGGTCGTGGACCTACGACCGGACGGAGATCGACCTGGTGCTGAAGAGCGAGGTGGCCAGCCTGGACGACTTCACGCCCAGCGGCGAGTGGGACATCGTGGCCCTGCCGGGGCGGCGCAACGACCGGCCATCTACAAGAGCGCCTGCAAGATCGAGGTGAAGCACTTCCCCTTCGACCAGCAGAACTGCACCATGAAGTTCCGGTCGTGGACCTACGACCGGACGGAGATCGACCTGGTGCTGAAGAGCGAGGTGGCCAGCCTGGACGACTTCACGCCCAGCGGCGAGTGGGACATCGTGGCCCTGCCGGGGCGGCGCAACGAGAACCCCGAGGACTCCACCTACGTGGACATCACCTACGACTTCATCATCCGGCGCAAGCCGCTCTTCTACACCATCAACCTCATCATCCCCTGCGTCCTCATCACCTCCCTGGCCATCCTGGTCTTCTACCTGCCCTCCGACTGCGGCGAGAAGATGACGCTCTGCATCTCTGTGCTGCTGGCCCTCACCGTCTTCCTGCTGCTGATCTCCAAGATCGTGCCGCCCACCTCGCTGGACGTGCCGCTGGTGGGCAAGTACCTCATGTTCACCATGGTGCTGGTGACCTTCTCCATCGTCACCAGCGTGTGCGTGCTGAACGTGCATCACCGCTCGCCCACCACCCACACCAGGCCACCCTGGGTCCGGGTGGTCTTCCTGGACAAGCTGCCCACCTTCCTCTTCATGAAGCAGCCGCGCCAGCACTGTGC